AGGGAGGGAGGGAGAAAGGAAGGAAGGAAAAGAAGGAAGGAAGGAAGGAAAAGAAGGGAGGGAGGGAGGAGAGAAGGAAGGAAGGAAGGAAGGAAGGAAGGAAAAGAAGGGAGGGAGGGAAGGAGGAAGGAAGGAAGGAAAAGGGAGGGAGGGAGGAAGGAAGGAAGGAAAAGGGAGGTAGGGAGGAGAGAAGGAAGGAGAGAAGGAAGGAAGGAAGGAAAAGAAAGAAGGGAGGGAGGGAGAAAGGAAGGAAGGAAAAGAAGGAAGGAAGGAAGGAAGGAAGGAAGGAAAAGAGAGGGAGGGAGGGAGGAGAGAAGGAAGGAGAGAAGGAAGGAAGGAAAAGAAAGAAGGGAGGGAGGAGAGAAGAAAAAGAAGGGAGGGAGGGAGGAAGAAAGGAAGGAAGGAAAAGAAGGAAGGGAGGGAAGGAAGGAAGGAAAAAAGGGGAGAGAAGGAAGGAAGAAAGGAAGGAAGGAAAGGTTTTCTCATTTTACAGACAATGCAACTCTTCATGTCAGCAAAAAGCCTCCAAAAAAAGGAATTTCACCTCCTCAACCAAGGAAGCATTTATTTCTATCTCCAAAACACCCCATCAAAAAAGCTATACAGATCTTCTGTCTGAGGAAAAGACTTGGGGACATGACCTTACATGCCAATGCTGCACACTGAAGGTGGTTTAAAACAAACTCCAACACAACTTTTTAAAACAACAACAACAACGGATGATCCATTTTAATAGGACCGTGCATGACTTTTCCAAGTTGACTTGGTTCAAAAGCACAAAAGCTTTCTCGTTGGGCGTGCAAAATCGCCGATTCGATTCAGGAAATGTTTTCAACCCCGAACGGAAATGTGTAATATTTTTTTTTTATTTTTTTTTTAGCATTTAACACGGGACTGAAATTCTGATCGCTGGGGGAAGTGAAGTTTCAAAGAAAAGTGCTGCTGAAGTTAACCTGATCTGGATTCGGTTTACACAGTCCTGGATGGTAAGGGAAACTACCCAGCTGGTTAAATTTCAACCTGCCTTAAGTTCCTAAAATGGGAAGGAGGGCACAAGAGAACCTTCTTCCCTTTGCATATTTATCCTCCCACATAAATAAGTAAGAGAAAGAAAGAAAGAAAGAAAGAAAGAAAGAAAGATGAAACCTATAAGGAAAAAAATATCCCTCAAATCCATTTTTCATTTCTTAGGCCAAAAGAAACATCAGAAAATGTACCTTGCACTATCATGGGCCAACCTTTGCCGGCCATAAATTTCAGAGAAGGATAGAGCATATGGTTTGGAAGGGCTGGACTAGAGAGCATCTAGTCCAGCCCTCTTTTCCAGGGTGGGTATCTTCAGCAAATCAATTTTATTTCCTGAAACGATTCCCACTGGGCTCACATCAGGCCCAATTTGATTCACTCTGAATCTGTCCGATACACGTTCGGCTCTGTTTCTATTTGATAAGTATCTGGGATGTTAATAAATCCATTCTTTGGAAAATTGCAGCCTGCCTAAAAAAAAATTATTTTTTCCCAGATTTTGTGCAGAGAAAAATGATTGTGCAGAGAAAAATCTGATTCTCGATTCCTAAATTCAAATCTGGCTTGATTGTTTATACCCGGATCAGAAAGTGTCACCTGAACAGGATTTACAGTTTAACACGTAATTCCAGTTTGTGTAGCTTTTCTAGTAAAGCAGAGCTAAACAGATCCATCTCGGCACAATATGTCAATCAATATGAACGTTGCGAACCGCCAAGAGTCAACTTGCAGCCAGATGAGTGGCAAATAAATTTAATAAACATTAAATAAATTAAATACAGGTAATCCACCCAAAATTTCTGTTGCTAAAAGAGAAAGGAGGGGGGGAAAAAACTTAAAACCAAGTTTAGCCTCTGGTACAGGCATGTCAAACTCGCAACGTCACGGCAATGGGGAGGGCGCAATTTTGGCGTGACGCATCCCGGCAGTTTGACATGCCTGCTCTAGTACAAAAACACAACTAGTAAAAAGCATGTTGTGTGACACAGGTGGTCCCTGACTTACAGCCATTCGTTTAGTGACCGTTCAAAGTTACAACAGCACTGACTTACGACTGGTTTTCACACTTACGGTCAAATGATTCAAATTCAAAAGGCTTGGCAACTGGCATGTACTTAGGACGGCTGCAGCGTCCTGGGGTCACGTGACCCCCTTTTGCGACCTCCTAACCAGCAAAGTCAATGGGGGAATCTGATTCACTTAACAATCGTGACAAGGAAGGTCACAAAATGGGACAAAACAACTGTCTCTCTGTCCCAGGGGTGATGTGATCGCCATTTGCAACTTTCCAACAAGCAAAGTCAAAGGCTTTCTCTCCTGTTCCTAAAACGACAACGACAAGTCTCCTCTTTGCAGAGAATGACTCCACAACATTCTTCAGTGCAACACAGGAAGTCACACTGTGTCCCTTCCCAACAAGACGACGGTTCCCACAGCTAAATTCCCTGCTTCTCCCACTGTCCCAATCAAAGCAAACAGAATTTGCCATCCCAAATGTCAGAAGAGTTTTGCAAAGACTACGCAACGTGCAAAAAGTGCCCGTCCTAGCCACAAATGATGAGCACCTCTACTTCTTCCCAGTCTGATGAAGAGCTCTGTAGAAGCCAAAAGGTCGCACTCTTTTTATGGCGAGTCTAATTACAGTTTTAATTTACTTTTTTTCCCCCACAATGGGCCAGTATGTCAATGTTGTTTTTTCCAGCCTAGCATCCCACAACAATCTCTAATATTTGTCATGACAGAGAAAAACTAAGATGGATATTCCTCTAAACCTACCAGAAATATCACTAAATTACATGGGAAATAAGCCTTGACAAATTCCAGCCTTTTGGTGTGAGGTAGCAACATGTATTATATTTATCAGCTCCTTTTCCACCAACCTGTAAAAACCACGCAGGCATGCTGCATCCAGAAACCCATTTTTAAAAGTAGCTTATTTTATTTGGGGTTATAGGACTGGGAAAACCAAGGCCTGGTTTTTAGAAACCCATAAGATACCAAATCAAACTTAGTTTAGCCAACCAAAGGTGGACCAGTGTCCGGTTTGAGAAATCAAAATAGGAAACAATGAAAAATCAGAGATAACCCAAATAAGAAACGGCATGTGAAAACTTACAAAACAAAACAAAATCACGAGACAACACAAATAAGAAACTGCATGTGAAAACTTACAAAACAAAACAAAACCACGAGACAACACAAATAAGAAACTGTAAGCTGGGAAAAAAATCAGCAGGACAGAGAAAACCTTGTAGAGAGGCCAGACAGTTTGAAAACACAGTGCAAAAATGCACACCCCCCCAGACTTTTTGGCCTCTCAAGAGATTGCTACAAATATTAAACCATAAACTTTGGGGAACCACAAACAATCAAATAAGAATGTTGCAAGAGGGAGATTAATCAGAGGAGAGCCCCACTTAGCAAATATAAACATAAACCTACAATTGCTACAATTCTTCCTTTGGTTTGGTTTGTGTTGCCTCTCTTTCAGGGGAAGATGACAAATAAACAAAGAAAAAGCAACAACGATTTGGTTTTTGTCTTTGCCACACAACCAATTCTCTGCAGGGCCAAGTTGGGCCTGGATCTGCCTGGTTTTTAATCCACTACTAGATGCAACAAAACCTGCAAAAGGGGGGGGGATAAGATCTAGGGTTTAAAAAAAAAAAAAAAACTACAAATCCCATCGCAACATTGCACGCAATTTTCCTGAAGGCAACCTTGGAATTCAACTTCCTCCCAAATATCTCGTGTGTCACCGGTTTTGGACAATCCCCCCCCCCGTTTTTTTTTTTGGTTTTTTTTTTAAAAAAACAATCCTGGGGTGGATTTCCTGACTTCCCACATCCAAAATCCAGGTAAAAAGAGAGCCTTTTTTGTGCTTAAAGCAGAAAACAAACAAAGCCACCCAAAGAGAGGTGCGCAACGGAGACACGCTTCCATGTTTATCACCCACAGCACCCCGAAGCACTTGCGGCATGTCTCCAAACCAGACGCCCCCTTTTCCACCCCCACCCCCAGGAAAAACACAAGCTAAAACCTCATAAAAATGCAAATTTGGGCCTGGCTCCCCCACCCCCCAAAATAATAAGATGGCCTTTTTATCTCTTCGCACTGCTAGCGCATGAAAGAAGAAAAAAAAAAAGGAGATGGAAGCCATTGCTGGCTCTTGCTTGGGAACGCCAGGTGTGTCGTAGCGAAAAATGGACCGAGATGCCCATCGGATGCTTTTTGCAAAACGCACCAGGAAAATCAAGGTTGCGTTGCCTTGGTTGTCCGCCCAGGTAGCCCATCGGGCAGTTCTGGTAGCCAGGGATGATGTGGGGAGGGGGGCCAGCGTCGCCCAGGGCCTGGCTGGCAGGCGACACCCGCAACCAAAACAATGGAAACACCAGCTAACCCTGGTGGGAAAAAGCAGCAGGCAGGCACAGAAGCAGCAGCACAAAATGGCAACACAACCACACACCGACCCCCCCGGGGGGGGGAAACCTCAAAAGGCCAGTTCGGTTCAG